CATGGCTCATTGGTGGAGCAGGTGCACCATGTGTGAGGGCTACACTCCTCAACGCAGTCCTTGGTTTGATTCCCAGCCCTGGGCCATTTTTCTTCATGTCTTCCCCTTCTCTGCACTTTTTCATGTCCAGCTACTAATAAGTAAAGGCCACTAGTGCCACAAAAATCCATAAAAATTTATTTTACAGCATTGACCTTAAATTCAAACAGCTGCTGTTCAGAAGGGAAATGCAGTGAAGGACATTTTGAAAACCACTCAGCTAAAGTGGACTAAAAAGTACTGGTGGTTACTTATGATGGTTTTTATTTACTTCTAAAGTTGGAAAGTGGATCTGCGATTCATTTCAAACCCAACTAAACCATGTGTTAGTTGCAAATTTTGGACTCAATGACCAGGCTAATTACTATTAGTAATGCAAGCTAATAGCAATATATGGCCATTTCTCAACAACAAAAAACACAATTATGTTCTGTTAAATTCTAAGAATGTACTTGGCAAGAAGAGCTGAAAATACTGTGTTATTTCAAAGAGCACAAGGATGCAGTCTGGTTGTTCTGCAACTAGGACAGAGCATAGTTGACGAGGTCACCACCTATCTAAAATCTGTCCTGGGATAGATACGATTTTTTTCACATACATATTGAATAGTGAAATAAGAATAAAATTAGTGAGGTATAACAAAATCTAAATGTTTATGTAGAAAGATGTGACGTTTGGACTAAGTTATGCGTCTAATGAGCTAAAGTTGTTCTTTTGATTAAGTTCTTATGTCTGTTGTTTACAGTTTTTGCCTTGGAATTGGAAAGTGAATCCAACTATCTAACTAACTCCAACAACTCGCTGAGACTGCAGCCAGGGTGGCCTATCAGTGGAACTTAGCTCCTCCAAAAACAATCAAGTGAATTTGAAAGAAGCCTTATTCTTGATTATTGAATGCATTTATGAACTTTTCAGGCCTACTTTCTAAGCTTAAAACGTCTCAAAGCTATTAAACTATTTTAGTGACAAATTATTAGCAATTTTTTAAAATTATAACTATGCACCTTCTTTCTCCCTTTACCACTGCAGGTTGCGCAGTGCTAAGTCTGCAGAAGGCTGCATCGTTGCATCCTTGATAAAATAGGCGGGGCAAGAACAAATTGGGACATTTGAAGCATACTTGCTTTTATGCGTACTTTGGACTGGAACAGTTCTTGGATGCTGCTGATGACAGATACGCAAGTGCACAATTACAGACAACGGCTAATGTCTCTGACACATTGACTTACAGTATTAGATTGTAAATGTAATATATGTTTAGTAAAGATTTATACACAAACAAGTGCAAATAAACACTTTATTACCGTTTTGAACTCATGCCATTCTGGATTTTTTGAAATGGAACATATTAGGCGTATCTGGACACAGAAACTGTAGCAAAATTAAGGCAGAAAAGACTGTGCAGTAAAATAACACTCTGCATTTCACAAGTGTTACACTAAAATCATCCACCCATGATGTTCAGGACCAGGTCCAGATCCAATCCCATCTGATGCATTTGTGATGGTGGTTTAAAGGTTTATAAAATAGTGTTTTCATGAACCTTTGAAATTTTTCAGACCAGATTAGTTCTAATATAGCAGAAATCTGCTTTGGTTTGGGTTCTACTTGGACTACTTGTTCACTCACTGCAGTTCAAACTTGTTTTAATATTTCCAAACTCAAGGGGTTAAACAGGGTGTCTAGTGCAGGTAACATGCTGACTAAGTTGGCCTTTATAATTCAGGGCTGCCTTTTACAAAAAAATCAGTTTTCCTAAAAACAAATAACTGCCATTATTTTTGGGGATAGTTGTCTTTACTGTTTTTGAGTGAAGCCAGTGTATGCTGCGGGCCATAATTTTCAACAGGTGTAACTTACTTTAAACCGTATAATTTTTATGAACTTATTTTAATGAGGAAACCATTAATCATCTCACTGACAGAGCATTTTTTATTACACACTATAATTAGCTCATTAAACAAATATCAGTATTTTTCAGTCAGTGTTTTTATACATAGCTGATTAAAGGTCTTTAGATCGACTCATGCTGAACAGTAAAACCAACTGGAGGTTGATATGGATGCTTATGAAAATGTTTAAGGATTCACTATGTTTTATTAAACAGGAAGTGGAGAGATGACAGCAAATGATGATGATGGTAACGAGAAGACAAAAGCTTCATGGACAGATATCTGATGTTCAAACTTATGTTACCAACTGCACATGTCTGGTTCTTCTTCTGTATTTTGGGTGGCACTGAGTCCAGCTCATGGTTTCCACCAAAACCACTGGACAAGGTTGTATAGTCATGCTAGTACCCTTTGTGGAAACTGGAACCATCCCCTGGTCTTCAGTGTGGAAGTTTATTACCATGCCGCAACAGCTACAAAACAATCAGAGCTACCTAAATCTAAACTTGGACGGTTCTTAAAGCACATCCGGATCATGAAAGGTTGATTGTACGTAGAGAAAGTGGCTTTTCAGCCTAGGAGGGTGAATTCAGTGACTGTCGCACACTTTCAGGGTTTTCTTGTAAACTTCAAGTCATCCTTAGGTTTTGTTCCCTGATGTTTTCCCAGCTGCTGTAGTTCTCTTTTATCAGAGATGTTGAACTGTAACACTGAAAAACACATTTGGTGATTCTTTGCTGTGTTTAATAAATGGCTCGCTGCTGATTGTGTGTTTGGTTCCCGTATTTAATTTCTATGTCTTTATGAGGACAGACCGGAGAGAACTGTGTGTGGTTCAGAGCGGTGGTGCAGGATAGAGGCCGTCAAAGAAGTCTTGCCCTTCAACAAAAAGTGGGAGTGTGGAGCTGCCAGCTGATGGATTGCCCTGACATCTGCTCCATTCACTCCTCAGTAACGTTGCTACAACAACCACAATCTGCCCCTAAAAAATGCTGTTCGTCTCATTAAGAGGCCAGGCCTCTTACAAAATGGTAACCCTCCAAAAGCCAGATAAAATTTGGGTGCTATCTGTTTTGTGGAAATGGCAAAAAGGGAAAAAGGTGTGTGTGTCTGTGGGGGAGGGGTACAACTACTAGGGGATAAAGATTTCAATCTGAGTGACATAGTAGGGCTTAATACCCAGAATATTTAACCCAAAACATTCTTTAGCCAAACTTTGTCTCAATAGAGTGACGCTTTAAGAAGGCAGCTGGCCAAAAAGCTTTGGTTAGACTAACACAAAGCTTTGTCACTAAGAGCTCCACAGTATTTTCTGACAACTTCCCACTGTGCTGGTTTGTTACCAGCAGAACAGAATGTGTACCAACTGAATGTTTAAACATGAAAACATGCTACATTTATCACTGATGGTAAAAATGGAATTCATTGTCTCACTGGAGCTTTATTGCAGATTTTCTGGTGCCTTACAATACCCCAGACATATTTCAGTGCATCTTATTTGAATTTTTTTGTGATACACCAACATAAAGTAAAGCATATTTATGAAGTGGAAGAAAAATAACGTTTTTTGTTTTTTAAAAAGAAAATCTGAAAAGTGTGGTGTACCTTTTTTATTCAGAGTCAGTACTTTGTAGAAGTCCCTTTGGCTGCAGGTCAGCTGCAAGTCTTTTGGGGGTCTCTACCAGCTTTAAACAGCTACAGATGGCCATCTTTGCTCTTTATTTCTTGTAATACATCTAAAGCTCAGTCAGATTTTATGGAGAGCAGCTGTGATCATCAGTTTTCAGGTCTTGACACAGATTCTAAACTGGACAAGGTAATTCTAACACTTCTGTTTTAAACTAAACCATTCGATTGTATCTCTGGGTGTATGTTTAGGGTGGTTGTCCTGCTGGAAGGTGAACCTCCACCCCAGCCTCTAGTTTTCTGCAGCCTCTAACAGGTTTTCTTCCAGGATGGTCCTGGATTTAGGTCCATCCATCTTCCCATCAACTCTGACCAGCTTCCCTGTCCCTGCCAAAGAAAACCATCCCCACAGCATGATGCTGCCACCCTATGTCTTACCATGGGGATGGTCTGTTTAGGGTGATATGCAGTGTTAGTTTCGACCACACATAAAATTTTGCATGTAGGGTGAAGTGGTATATTTTTATCTCCGTTGACAGCACCTTATACTGCTCAACATTACTATGACTACAATGTTTCACTCTTCTTTGGTAGTTTTTGTATGAGTAAACCTTTATTTCTTCAGCCTCATAATAATGGTTGACAAGGGCAGGTGTGTTTCCTTTTTGTCCAGCTGAAGGAAACAGACACAGAAATCAACTCTGCTTCAGGAGTCATGGCACCTGTTGTTGCAACTTTACTATTGGCCCATTTTCAGTCAGAAGTCAGGTTTAACTGCTAACTTCACTCGTGTCTATGTCCACATACTCTATGGGCCTGATATTCAAAAGATTTGCGTGTATGAAAACTTGTGCAAACTGGATTGGGTGTGCAAAATGAGACAAACAGTGGGCGCAAACTTTCTAGCAGGTTTGCCTTAATGAATATGCAAAACATATGTTAGTGACCCAACTGCCCAAATTTATGGGAGGAGGATATGCAAATGTAATTACTTACCACCCACAATGTGATTTATCAAACCTGAGAATAATTGCGAGTGCTGTTTCTGCATATATATTAAGCATGTTTGAAAGACAGGTGCAAACTGACACACAAAAATGTCTGCTGTTACTGTGGTGAGAAGGAGGCATAGATACAATGACAGACAATGGAGAGAAGGAAGCTTTTGTCCACATATCAACATATTTTTAGAAATAAAAATAGTAAAGATTTTATCAGTAGGTTTATAATTCCAGCAACTGCACACAAACTGATGTTTTCAAGGCTTTATTTCTGTTATTTATGATTTTCTGCTTACAACCTAATAAAAGCACAACATTTTAGATTAGAATATTACATTAGACCAATAAATAAAACTTTATTACGGATATATGCTTTATGAGAGGTATGTTTTATACCTACTTTAAGGTTGCTGATTTCAAACAAATACTTTTAATCTGGGGCTGCACGGTGGTGCAGTTGGTAGCACTGTTGTTTTAGCAGCAAGAAGGTTCTGGGTCCAACTCCCGGCCGGGGGGGCCTTTCTGCATGCATGGAGCTTGCATGTTCTCCCCGTGCATGCATGGGTTCTCTCCGGGTACTCTAGCTTCCTCCCACAGTCCAAAAACATGAATGTTGGGTTAGCTGGTTTCTCTATATTGCCCTTAGGTGTAAATGAGTGTGTGTATAGTGGTTTGTCCTGTGTGTGGACTGGTGACCTGTCCATGGTGTACCCAGCCTCCTGCCCAGAGACAGCTGGAGATAGGCACCAGCTTCCCAGCAACCCAATATGGAAGGAGCAGTATAGAAGATGACTGACTGACTGACTTTTAATCTGACAAATATTCCTCATTGTAGCACTAAGTCTAATTTATTGAATATGACTGTATAGTTGTCTGCTGCAGGCGTGTGCAGCGGGACTGTAGACAATCTTTATGGTGTTAAATCACAACCAAAAACACCAACACAACTTTTTGGTGAGTGAACCAAGCAGGGTGACAACCCTGCTTTGGACAGCCAGTTGCCAGTCTGTCCCTGCCACCATCCAGGCATTGGACTATCGGTTTTTAAAAAATCACAAACTATTCTCATTAGAACAGCTTGCTAAATCATACTTGGGCAATGTATATAATTTTGTTGATCTAATGAATATCTTGTTTATAGTGTTTAAAGTGGAACTAAACCCGATGTAAAAGTATAACCCCGCACTCAGACAAATTTTGAAAAATGTCAGCAAAGTAGGCAGTGCCAAGAGACACTGAGGGGCATGGCCAAGTGTGGTTAAGGGAGGCTTGTGGAGCCCAGCAGGCCGAGCCTCATTTCGAGCCGATGGCTCAAGGCATAAACTCAGTGATTCTCGAAGCTGGCGCTGCCAAGGCAGTGGAGGACTAAATGAATCCAGTTTCTGAGTGGTAATGTGATGTTAGCAGCATTATTGCTAACATGGGCAAATTTTCAAAACAGTAACAAACTTTCAGAAAGTTTACATTTACATGTAGATTTATATTATCTCAAGTAAAGCATATGATCGAAGGTATAAAGCATAAAACGCTATGATCAATGCTAGCAATTCTAACTCCTGACACAGGGTTGAGACATGCACCAAGCTGTACCGTTTGAACCAATATGAACATTCAACTGCAGTAGCCACAGTTCGACCCAAAGAGGGCAGCATTAAGGTGGTTGTAGGGCAAATATTGCAGAATTAAAGAAGTTTACATCAAAATGTAAATGAAAGCACAGAAACAAAAAGATGGCACCCTTAAGGCCCAGTTCATACAGTTTATCTGCAAAAAAGTTGATTTGGGGTTTAGTACCACTTTAAATTTGGGAGCGTAGGCCATTTTAATTATATTACCTTTCCCCTAAAGGGAAAGAAATAGGCTGGACCATCAAACTATGTCAGATCTAAATTTATCCAGTAAGGGTTCAAAATTAACCTGGGCTATGTTAGGAGAATGTGATACCCAGATACTTAATGCCTGGTCAAGGCCAACTATATGTTAGGTTTTTTGATTAATTGTTTTCAGGATTGTTTTAATTGGACTTCTTCTGCTCAAAGGAAACACAACAGGTGAAGTGACTTTTAAAAATATTGCGTTGTCTTTTAATGACCATAAAATTGAGTTGCAAAAGGTTTGTCTGCCTTTTACTCATTGTGTTCCAGCTGTGTATGGCAGGATGCAAGGACTGGTTGCCAAACTTTGCAATAGCCACCCATGTTCAGTTTTTACATTTCAGTTTTTATACATTTTAGTCCTGTGGTGTGCAAAGCTCAGCTGTGAACTAAAAAACACAATGGTGACCATCATGAGTATTGTTAATTTTATTCGCTCAACTTCAAGCTTACTACACCACCTGTTCCGTAAGCAGCTTGCAAAGGTGTTTGCAGAGCTGCTGGTTCATAACGATGTCAGATGGCTCAGCAAAGAGAGGGTTCTGGACCGTGTCAGTGAACTCTGCCAGGAGATCTTGTTATTTCTCTGTAAATATAAAAGCAAGAGAGCTATGCAGTCCAATGTTTTTGGACTGCAGGCTGGATGAACAGTTCATGGCAGAAGTGCATTTTCGGAGTGACATTTCTGGACACATGAACACAATGAATCTATAGGTGATTTGGTTGGGAGACTTTGTGCTTTTAGTAAAGAATTGGCTGTTTTCAAAACAGATAACAGATTAAATGTAACATTTTCTACACATCTGTGTATTTATAAACTAATTCCTGAGTGCACTGAAAACAAATGTAATGACAGGTTTAAAGACAGAGCTGAATGAGAATTTTAGTGAGCGTTTTCAGGACTTTAATATTCCCATTAAGGGGCTGCAGTTTGTTCATGACCCATTTTCCATTGAAGCTGAGCCTTATTTCTGTGTCATAGCCACATAGGTAATTCCATTCATTGACGAAGGCATCTTTCAGATGGAGATGATGGTTTTACAAATGTCTTTTGCTTTGAAATAACACTTTCATGATAGTACAGAGGACTTTTGGGCTAAACATGTTTGACAGATTTTGGTTGGTTGTATCTTGTCTTCTGTATTTGTCCAGGAATACTTTTATCAGATATGCGTCTTAAGACTAATCTGTTTTTATGTTAAAACTTAAACCTGATAGTCTTCGTTTGGAAACTGTTAATAACCTATAATGTTGACAAATAAACGAAAACAGAATAATAAGGATTAACCTGATTTTTTGAGGTTATATTTCTTTTACCATTGAAGCATGTTTGGTCATTTCTCCCTCCTGATTTTATAAATAATTTTACATGACCATCAAACAAACAATATTTTATTTTTGACCCCTTAAACTCAAGTTGAATAACCTGGCATTAGGGTTTTAGTCCTACCAAAAGCTCAAGTAAATCCCTGCTATTACAAAATTTTTACAAAAATAATTCTAAATTACTAATAAATTTGCATTAAAAAGTTTGATACTTGCAGTACATACTCCCCCTTCTCATTATCCAAATGAGGACAAGAAAATAGCGTCGTCAAGATTCTTTTTTTTTTTATGTATTTTGCGGCACTAGTGGCCTGTGTTTTCACATTTTCAGACAGTAAGCTGACAGGAAAGGAATGGAGAGAGGGGGAAGACAGGCAGCAAAGGTCACCTGGGCCAGGAGTGGAACCCGCAACAAACAAAGACCTCTGAATATGGGTCGCGCATTTTAACCTCTGTGCCACTGTCACACCCCGCGGTGACAAGATTCTTAAAAAAGGAAACTTGGTCCAGTTGTTATGCTCTTTCTGCCTGCTGTTTTCCTTCTCTGTTCTCGCTGTCAGCAATCAAGCCTATCTGCTCCACATGTTCACAGCTGCTCTGCAGCACAATCAGCTTCATGTCACTCACCTGCTCACCAGCAGTTATATTCAGCTCTCTGTCAGGCAGATGGTGCCAGATTTGTGAAAACCTTCGAGTGAGTAGATATCCAGCATTCCTTCCTGCCTGATCACGTTTTTGGACCAAGTTTCTGACTCACAGATTTACCCTTCTTGCCTTGCCCCATTGGAGCGCCCTGCTTCTGGATTTCAACCCTGTTTTTGGCCTCTCGACTCATGCCTCGCCCCTGAAACTGCCTGTCAGTGTCTGCTGGATTCTTTTCCCTTGCCTTGCCTCCCCATCCCCGCCTAGTATTCTGACAAGTTATCTGCCTCCCTGGTTCTCGCCCTCTTCAGTTCTCTGACCATTGAGTTCTGCATAATCCCTCTGTCGGCAATCTGACATTTGTTTATGGTGCGCTCCGCACTGTCATCCCAGTCTGGAGTCTGCCAGGTCTTTACCCCGCAAAGGAATCGATTCCTGGTCCCCAGCTCAACACGGACCCTGAGAAGGTGGATGGCTTCTTTGGATTCACATACTTCTGCCTGAAGTTTTTCAAGCCACTAACCTGCCTCTCCTTTCCCAGTGGTTCCTGATTCTGAGCTGGTGGTTTCTTGAGATTCTGCATTCAATTCCAGAATAAATCTTTTAACACTGTATTGTGTCTCTTTTGGGTCCTCTGTCTTGAGCATTACATAAGTACCTGGATGTTCAAGGTTGCACTCTTAGGTGTGACATTATGGGTGTAACTGTGACATGTTGCACCCATAATAATCTGTTGTCCCACAGTACTAAGTGATTAATGGTAATGCAACGCTAAATTCTCAACAATGTACTCTATGTGCTACCACTGAAATTATAATTCTGGTAAATTTGCTGTGCATAAACTGTTTTTTTTCTTAGTATTTGAGGTAATGTTGTTCTTATTTCTGATTCCTCATTGCATCTTGGACACATACATTTCCACACTGGACATTACTGCATTGGTATTAATTAATGTTTCAGTTTTATTCTTCACTACTTTCTTTTTACTGTCATTATTATTATTATTTTTTTTGTTTGAGTTTTTTCGGCTTTGCTATTGTTTTCCTTTTTACTTATTAGTTTTGTTGAGCGTCACTCAAGTATCATGCTAATCAATTATTGTATTTGGAGAGAAGTCGTTTGTGATTATACTGCATATGAATCTAGGGCTTGTTGTTTGAGAATGCAAATTCACTCCTTCATCTATTGCTCTTTAATACCACACCTCACCGGGTAGGTAGGTAAGGCAAGTTTATTTATATAGCGCTTTTCAGTAACAAGACAGTCAAAGCGCTGTACATGAGGCAGAACAATTACAGTATTCATAAAACATAGGACTGACAGAGACTGGAGCATTAACTTTATTAATATTTAATAATGATCCATTTTTTATTCTAATGAATAGTTGTTGATGGCCAAACCATTGTTGCACAACAACTTTCATATTAAGACATTTTATTGATTTTTATTTATTTGCTGTATGTTTGACACTCAATACTTCAATGATAGTAGGTCTGCAAAAATGCTGTATCTATACATTTCTACCTTTTAGCATTAGAATATCTTTCCATAGCATGCCTAATGTTACATTTGTTTAATCATGGTAGACTGTTTATAGGTTTGATGTTAATCTTCATCCTATCAGAGTTTGTTACTTTGGTGTCTTTCATGTCTCTGTTTTCTATGTTTCCCAGTTGTT